AAAAACTAGGGGCTTAAGGTTAATGTCATTACTTTTCACCGACAATCAACTTCACATTTCCCATTTATTCAGAATAATTGTATATTAAGGTGTTTATTCCAGCTGGTTTATTTCATCAAATGTAATTTTAATTCAAGTTTTTGGTCAGTTAATGCAAACTTGTGAGACTCCTTGTTTTACTGTTTTTTTTTTCTTCCTCAGCTGTCAGTTCTAAATGTCATTAAAAAATATGTTAAAATTGCCAGATTTAAATATTTTCATCAAGTACATTTAAATCATTCAATGGTTATCACTCAAAAAGCTTTGTGTTTGGTTTCACTGAAAGTGCTTCTTTTAAGAAACATTGAAATGTTGCAGCTGCAGAATGGGTGTCCTGGGGGTTAGGAAAAGCTTCAGAGAAAGGGGGAGAACTTCTGAAGATGGGTGCAGTCAAAATGAAAGAGCATTTGAAACCAGAAGAACAACAACCAAATGTAGATCCCCGTGTACAAAAAGGGTTGGTTTATGCCAGGAAAGGGACTGGGGTGGCTGTCAAAGTCAGTGGATTTCTTGGTGAGTGTTCGGGAATGCTGATGTACTGGTATATATATGGCATTGCGTAAGATGTGTTATTTGATAAGAAAATCTTCAAGGTGAATATTGATGTCAGTATTGAGTTATGGCTTAAACAATTTCAATCATTGTGTTTAGTTTTTTATTATCTTTTAGGATATTATAAACAAAATTGCTATATATTCTGGCTAAGACTGACAAAGTTAAATTTATATAAGATTTAAAAGTGTAAAATTTGTATAAGATTTAAAAGTGAATTTATTGCCATCCTAATTTTGCCATTTTGAGTCATTAAACATCACATGTAAAGACAATTCAATATTGTCATTTACAGTGAATAAACTTGGTGAGGCCACCATGTTGTTAGGCCGACAGCTGGCACCACACATAAAGAAACATGGCACCCGACTGTTACCCAAGGAGTTGAAGGCCAGTGACCAGGAGGGAAGATCGAAGATTGACAATGTGCTTGAAGTGGCAGGAGGGGGCTTAAAAGGCAAGTTTGAATGAAAATTGGATTATGTGTCACTGATTAGCTGGTGTTTGGCAGTACACTAATTTAGTGTCTAAGAGTAGTCTTTATTTTTACTTTATGTAAAGTAAGAATTATTGGGTTTCTGCTTCTCTCACATCTGTTGAGCTTTTAGGTAGGTAGAAGTGAAGTTTTTAAAAGTTAGTGTCATTTCATTGAGTTTGCTGAAAATTGTTAAAATAAGTGACACGTCATCTTTAAATAACTGTTATATTTAGGTTTAGGAACAGTGTACAATGGTTTAGAAGTTGCAGCCAAAGCTCTTGGAAAAAGCATTGCTACACAGACAGTCGATGTTGTTCAGCACAAGTAAGTCAGTCTTCATTATTTGCTCTTATATGTTTTCTTGGTATACATTTAAATAGCATCAGTCTGTGACCAAAATGATATTTTCTGTTTTTTGTATGCAATCGACCTTCAATAAATATGTGTCAAAGTCAGTTACACAAACTTCCAAAAATTTACAGTCATCATAAATAAACATCTAGGCATGTAAAAACAACAAAAAAAAAACTAGCTTTTCATAAGTATTTTTAATGAATTGACTGTGATAATTTTAGATATGGTGAGCAGGTTGGCAGTGCCACAGAGCATTCTTTGTACACAGCAGGCCACATTGTCATGACTGGATACAATGTCAAGGAAATGGGCATCAAAGCAATAGCCAAGAGAGCTGCCAAAGATACTGGAAAGGCTGTTTTAGAAGATTACAAAACAGCCAAGGTTGCTAAAGAGAATGGCACACATACTGTCACAATGTCGGAATTAAAAAAGCCACCTCGTCCACCTCCACCTGATGGACCAAAATGACACCTTTTTTGCATGCAGTTAAACAAATCCTATGTACAAACAGAATTGGACCCTCGGAGTTTTATTTATTTATTTATTTAGTCATTTATTTATTTAAATGCTATTTATGGATACAGTGGAAGATGATTTGCTACTCTGGGTCCCTTTTACTAAGAGCTCATGTCAACTTGATATACATATAATGGCATAAAGTAAATTCTTTTATCATATTTAAGATATGTGCTATTTGTGGAATATATCAGTTTAATTTTTAGAGCTATTTTAACATATTTGATATATGTTTCATTTGAGATATATACCAGTTAAACTTTAGTGTCATTGTTCTGTGATAACAGCTGTGATTGTTATTTATGGGATGTTTATTTTAGTGGAAATAAAATGATTATGTATATCATTCATGATGCACCATTAAGTATATTTACATGTAGGACTGCACCCAATCAAAAAATGCCCTCAAATTGTAGCAAGTTGGTGATTAAATTGCATTGACTTGTGGTTCAAGTGCAGTAATTATTGTTATAATAGTAGAAGTAATGTCAATGCTTATACTGTGCTCTTTTGGTATGGGGAACAGGTCTTGAAACATCCACGTTTTTCTTCAAAGTGACAAATGCCTTGGATAGTGTCATTGTTACATTTGTTTACCTTTGATTTCGTATAGTCATTTTGGTGGCATATTTAGTAAGAATCAACGTACTATACAGTAAAAATATTTTTCTGTTAATACAATGAATATGCATTCCTCCTACTAGTTGTTTGCTTCAATGCTTTTGAGTTTCATTTCATCAAGTGATAACGACTTAAAATATACATTATTATCAATTAATTATGAGGCACATTTTTACCTGCTGTCATTTGGAGTACATCATTAACAGTTTTAATTACTCAAAATGTGTCAGGTATTCAACACAATTATGCCTGGATCTACCTTTGTTCAATAATAATAACAAAGAATTTCACTTAATTTTTATTAGAATGATATTGTATTATGCAAATTTATTTTAATATGGAGGTTAGGTTCATTTATACTTTGTTGCTCAGCAACAAGGCAATTGCCTTAGTTAATCAAAATAATTTAGCTTTGCATCGTACTTTGACAAATATTATATTAATAGACTTATGTTTGTGTTGGACAATTCAAAGGCATGCACTCCACCTGATAATTACAGTCATTTTGCATAGTTTGATATGAAAATACAGAGTATTTTAATACTCTTAAAAGAACAATCCAAACATTGTGCTTAATCCAGCAATGAATGTGTAACAATGATTACGTAATGCAGAGTATAGTGTTTAACCCGTGAGAACTCCACATTTTTCCGACAAGAAAAAATCCCCAATAAGTACATAAGTCTATTCCTTGTGCTCTTCCCCATTCTGTTACAAAAAGTAAAGAATTGACAAGAATAATTCTACCTTGCTACTTGCAAAATATCACAAAAAAATGCCGTTTCAGCTGTTATGCTTCCAACATACTGAGCAATGTATCAGCTGCTTAAAATGTTCAAGGAATGTGATATGACAGAATGTCTATTAAAAACTAAAATTTATATTAAATCAAGACTGTTCTATGAGTAACTTCTCTTGTGGCTAAGTTGTTAAGTTACTGAACCACAAGATTAACTTCCTATATCAATGAAAGTAAAAATGTGCAGATTTTTTTTCTATAAATGAATCGGCTGTAGTGACAAAAACTTAGTTTTCCTGGTCTGACTGCATTAAGTCCACCAGAAACATCCTCCATGCAATGACTTCTTGAATACAACCATTTTGGCACATTTATTATTGCAAATCATCAACTTTTTTGCATCTTGGATGTACTTGAACTTGTAGTGCATCACCCTTGCACCCACTTCTTAATAATGCCCATCTCCTGTCGCCTGGCCTTTATGACTGACTGAGGGTCCTGAGGATTGCTTCCCCTGAGGTCCAGATGGTGAGCCCCCTCCTCTATGATAATGGCAATGAGGGAGTCTGAGAGGGACGTTGTGACACCCCCACCTGACCATGGGTCCAGTCGACCATTGCTGTGAAGCAAAATGTGCAATGAACAGGTGTGAAAAAGTGGAATGGCATGTATACAGATATCAATATTACTCTGCACATTTAATCTATCTAACATTTTAATAGGGTGAAGACTGCCAGACATTCAGTTGAAATGAAAGTATACACAATTTTTTTAACTCAACAATGTATGTCAGTCATGTAACATTGTGTCACTTTAAGTACAGAAACAGATTTAAAATTTGTCGATGTAATAAACGTGTATAAACTTAAACTTGATAATTAAATGATTAGATGACGCCTTAGATTAAATGCCATTTTTTACAGTTACTTGAATTCAAAATTCTATTACAATCTTTTAATGTACTTGTGTAAAATCATTCAACTGGGAGATGAAACCAAAAGTTCAAAAAAGTTTTTTTTTAAATGTGTAAGACTTTGAAGTACTAATGTTTACCTGAAAATGATATTGGAAGCACTAGTAATATTCTTTCCCCCATACTGGGTCTTTATCCACTGGGGCCTTGGCACCACACCAAACTGTTTTTTACAGTCCTTGGCAAAGGCATTAAAGTCCCAGGGCTGAGGCTCAAACATGTCATGTACACCATCAGTACACAATGGCATCACCATCTCAGAGCAAGCCTGAAATATATAGGAAATATGCCCAAGGATGGAAGTTATATGTGCAGCCTTAAAATTACCCTCATGTGTAAGAATGGGCACGTGTTGTTCTGCAACAGCTTGTCAATACATCAGTGTCTTGGTAATATAAGTAAAAAGTATTTGGCATATCAGGAAAGTAGAAGTTGTGTGTAGGCTTATGTTATATTTCTTTGCTTCCTGCACTTAGTCTCGGTGCAGAGAAAAAAGGACATAAGGAATAATGATATCAGAAAATTCTTCACTGCCTGTTGAAACTACTAATCTGCATGAATAATTTTGACAGAGACCACCAGACAGGGCTGAAATAGAGCAAAAAAAAAAAATGCCACATCTATTTTAGACATCAACATTAATGTAGTAACATAGTAGTCTAAAATACAGATTGTCTATAAGATTACCCAGAGATTTGCAGTCTACTGGAACCCCAATTCTATATCAGCAATGCTTTGTTGTTATCAATAGCTAATATGGTGTAAGAGAGACCACACTTGGTCACAACTGTGCTCTCTCTCAACAGTCAGTGGCAGTGCTCCAAAACATATAGGGTGATGTTAGAGGGAAGTCGTGGGTGTTTTCTTTTGAGAAAAAGGACTGAATATCTGCTTTTTCTGTTTACTTACAAATTTCTTACCTGGAAGTTCCAGCCCTGATCTCCCAGGTCAGCAGTTCCTTGCTGTGAGATATTGAAGCACTTAGCCTGCCCTGTGTAGTTATAGTACACTCCTACTGCTGTTGAAATACCTGAGAGAAGATGAAGATCTGAGGACTTGGTAAGATTAACCAAATGACTGCAAACAACCTGAATGAAAAGAATAATCAAATTGAGAAGTAAGAAATGTATAAGAAATGGCATGAATAGACTTTTTAAAGATTAATAAAAAAAATTACTTGAACAAATTAGAAAAACTGCAGTCAATTCCCTAGTTCTGGAGAATACAGCAGGCACTGAAAATCTACAATAATTCAACAAATCCTTGCATCTCAACACCAACCTTAACACCAATTTTTTCTTTCCTTTTTTTTTTTTTTTTTTGAGGTATAAAATGCAACAGATATTTCAACCTTAATGATTTTATATGATACCTTGATAGGCCAAGCTGGCAATGGTTCGAGAAAACTAGCTTGGTAAGGGTAGTCCACCATAGCCAGGTTTCCCCACGTTTCTGACAGCCAAGCTTTCATGGCATTCACATCAGCTGTGGTCTTAAGTGGCTTACATAGGTGGAATGTCTCACTGAGGGTCTTTCTTCCGGCATCTGAGAAAAAAAAATTATAAATTCAACCTCATCGGCTAATATTTTAGTAAAAAAGAAAGTGAGAAAGGGAAAAAGTTGTTAAAAAAATATTAGCAACTGTGTGAGAGAGAGAGAGATCATATGTATGTGTGAAAAATAAGCCAAGAAAAATCAACTGAGTTTATACCGTTTCAACTAACCAATGATTGTATAATTTTTTCATTTACGGACTCGATCATCAGAAAATTGGCTAAGGAAAAAAAACACATCTTTTGAATCATTTTCAAATAAACTACATACATATAATGAAAGAATATATCCAACTCTGACTTACCTGTCTGGCCAAGATTTGTAATTGCCTTCCAAGAAGTTCTGATGGTATCTGCACAGCCTGGACCGGACATGGCATAGTCCTTGGATACAATCTGGTAAAAAACTTCACAAGGCGTCTCACCAGGAAACTGCCATATGGGCGCAGAAGCTGCTAGAGCACTGATCAGAAAAAGTTATAACACAAAAGAAATAAAGAAAGGAAATCCTATGGCATATGGGATGATATTTCGTAGCAATAATGCAAGTGTGAAAATATGAAGGTAGGTTGAATTTTTTCAACTTAACGAAAAGTTAACATATATTCTGAGAAAAGAACACATCTTTTTTAGGGCATTCACTTACTTGAAACCAGAAAAAAGATTTAGAAAATTGATCAGAGCCTGAAAAATAGGCTACTAGGACAATGAAGTTGCACAATCCTTAAGCATCATAACATAAAGTTGTATGAATGATGCATGACTAAATACAATGTGATTTTTCTTATCTCTTGATACCTTTTAAGTCAAAATATATTTCTAAGATATTTAAGAAATCAATAACCAGTGCCATACCTCAGTACAAGCTGTATAAATCCCAAAATAAACAACCTACCCTACAACAACATTTGGATACTTCATCCTGAACCATGCTGCCAGCATGCCCCCGTATGAGCCCCCAAATGCCACCACTGGGCTATTCTCTGCTCCAGGTATGGTAGACTTCATGTGATTGATGAGTACTGCATAGTCTGCTAATGCTTGTTCAGAGGTAAGATATCCTAGGTGCTGAGCATCCTGAGTAAATAAAATTAAATCTGTGTGCATGCTAAATACTGCTAAAAAGTAGCAATAATATGAATGGATGGCTATATGGATGAGGGTGGATAGATAGATGGATATTTGGCTTAAACAGTTTAATGAAAGTTTATAAATAACATTCGATGCCAATTACCCTACCTTATAGGATTCTGCGCCATATGGCATTGAGGTTCCATAATATCTGTGCTCTGCAAACACAAGCATTGCTTTAAACTTTGGAGCAATGTCCCACATAAAGCCCTGAAGAACAATATTCCATTACATCATTACATATGCAAAGCTGCATATCCAGATATTAAAACCTGATTGATTCTAGGTACAATTCTTCACAAAAATATTATATATATATATATATATATATATATATATATATATATATATATCAAAAACCCTGTTATTAAACATCTAAAATAGGCAATTGCCCTGAAACTCACTGTGTTATTGCAGAACCAGGCGATGTCTCCCTCATTTCCTGTGTAGAAGAAGATGGGCCCACCCTTCTGGTCCCAAAA